CTGTAAATGAAAAGAGATTATTATCTGCTAATGACTTCTATTTCCTTTAAGAATAAAAAGTAAGGCTGGGTGTTAGTGGCGCACGCCTTTAATCCCAGCACTTGGGAGGCAGAAGCAGGCGGGTCTCTGTGAGTTTGAGGCCAGCCTGGTCTATAGAGCGAGTTCGAATATAGCCAGGGCTACACAGAGAAACCCTGTCTTGAGAAACCAAAAAGAAAAAAAAAAGAATAAAAACTAGGCAGACTCTGTGGAAGTTTCCAATTCTGAGTGGTCCTTGTGCACAGTTCTCCACAGTGGGGAGAAAGAGGTACCGAGATGAATTTAGGTTTTCCTCAACGGTGAATCATCACCGAGATGCTGACTGACCTCTGAGGAGATCTTGCAGTCTAAGACGTGGTCTGAACAGAACTACTTAGGCAAATTTCACATAAGGTGCAAAAATTTAACAGCTGTTCAAGAGACTCTCGAAACTGAATGAAGACAGGCAACTCCTCACTTGGAGTTGCCACATGGCATCCGTAGACAAAGTACAGATAGTGGCTATAGTCATTCTTCTGCATGGAGACAGTGGCAGGGATGGCGATGTCTGGATTCTGGTATACTAACCTGACAAGGGACCGAAGGAGGCCCAGGCTACATGAAGCTCAGAGACTGTACACCGGGGTCTTTAAAACCTATCCTACTACTGTCACCAAATTTAGTTTTGAAGTAGTTTTGCTGGCCCCTTTAAGAATGGCTCAGCAGGGGCCTGGAGAGATGGCTCAGCGGTTAAGAGTACTGACTGTTCTTCTAGAGGTTCTGAGTTCAATTCCCAGCAACCACATGGTGGTTCACAACCACCTTGAATGAGATCTGGTGCCCTCCACTGGCATGCAGGCAGAAAACTATATACATAATAAATAAATAAATAAATATTAAAAAAAAAAGAATGGCTCAGCGGGTAAAGAAAGGCATTTGCCACCAGCTATGGGGGACAACCTGAGTTTGATCATCTTCTGGACCCATGTGGACCAACTCCCACAAGTCACGACCATACACACACCATGGCATGCACATGCTCACAGGCCCACACACACAAGACAGACAGACAGGCAGACAGACAGATAAGCAAGCAAACAAACAGATATAAAAAGCAATTCCAGTAATAATAATAAAAACCCAGAGCTGGGCAAGCAGGTGGTGGTCATGGCAGTAATCCCAGCACTAGGGAAGCTAAGATCACCAGGCCTGACAGGAGTTCCGGGTGAGCCCTCTTACGGAGTAAAACCATCTTGAAAACTCAGTAGCTTTTTTTTTTAATAATAAAAATAGAAAGTACAGCTGGCCTGAAGATACGCTGGACCCTGGATCCAATCCCTGTACTACTGGGAGGATGGGGAGGTGGGGGACAACACCAACAATGATGATGAGTATGATGTCCAGCACAACCAAAGTTAAACGATGGGGAAGACAGGGTCCCTAAACTAGGGCAAGGTCTCCATCACTGTTCATGCTCTGCAACAAAAGACACATGGAGAGCAAATATCCAGGTCCAAAACCTGTTACTAGAGGACAGACTGGGACCAACAACCACCAGGTATCTAAGACAAGTTTTTAAGACATGCTGAAGCCTTATTTCAAAGGCTATGGTTCTGATCTCAGGGCAGGCGAGAAGGAAAGAATTGCCTCTTTTTTATTCTGATTAGCTGTGCCACAGGCTGGGAGGAGATGGAATCATTGCATGCACCAGTGCTGACAGGAGAGCTGTTAAAAAGCCAGGCTCAGTGCTTCTGAGTTGTGGAGAAGTCCAGGCCAGACACAGAAAGAACACATCCATAAACCAGGTTGAGGGGCATATTTCCTGGTTTCTACATGCAGCTAGCGTTGTACCATCTTTTGGAATAATAACATAACTTATATGCTTAAATGGATTTAAATTTAGATCTACCCAATTGACTTGAATCTAAATAAGAGTTATGTGAAGTTGACATTAAAAAAAAAAGCTTACCTTCTCAACAAGTGGCTTCGGAGCTTTCATTGTGTCTGATATTTCTGTAGCACTTGCTGTGTGTGAGTCATTAGCGCTGAGTGTCTGCAGCTCCAAGTCAGGCAGTATCTAAAGGTGCAATTTATGAAGTGGGGGACCTGGGCAAGTAGCTAATTGTTCTGTGCCTTGGCCCCCTCCTCTGTAAACAGGGATAATAACACATCTACCTACAGAGTTGCTGTGAGGATTAAATACATGAAAAGCAGGCCTGCCATAAAAGGCTCAAAAGCTGCCAGAACATGAACCACATGTAAGCCCAGGCATTTGTAACACTCATCACAGGTGTCCCGGTAGCACAGAGCAGAGAGAGTGTGGAAATGAGGCACATCAGCCCACTCTAACTGTCACCGTGCAAACTTACTAAATCCTCTGTCTGCTACAGATGAATGAAGGACTGCTCACCAATCGCAGGGTGCTCATTGAAAGAGCACGCAGCATTTGCTGCAAGCAAAGACCTTCAGACAAACACATAAAACGACTTAATGTCCCAAGATAAACAGTAACCGTTGGCAAAACGATAAATCTTTGTGCTTTATAATACAAGCAACATAAAATCTATTATTAAAGGACCCCAAGCCACAGCGTATGAGTGAAGGGTGCTGCCTCTATCCTGCTCCCGCACCCCTGAAAACGCACCAGACAGATGCTCACACCCATCCCACTGTGGGATGCTCACTGCCCACACCCATCCCACTGTGGGATGCTCACTGCCCACACCCATCCCACTCTGGGATGCTCACTGCCCACACCCATCCCACTCTGGGATGCTCACTGCCCACACCCATCCCACTCTGGGACGCTCACTGCTCACACCCATCCCACTCTGGGATGCTCACTGCCCACACCCATCCCACTCTGGGATGTTCACTGCTCACACCCATCCCACTCTGGGATGCTCACTGCTCACACCCATCCCACTCTGCTCAGGCTTCTCAGAACAAGCCCTGGTATCACTGTCTCTCATTCCCGGTGGAGTCAGAGGGAACAAAGGTGTTGCTCCTGAGCCACACAGGGAGGCTTACAGCAAATGAACATTAATGTTCACCTACTCCAGAGGGCTCGAGAATACTGCAGTCAGGCTTTCCCCACATTCACTTCGATAGGGAGGAAATTCTGGGCACTTGACTGTGTCTCTGAGAATAAAAAGTCAGCATTCACCAAATTACCCCTATAGCTGCCAAAGAACAATGGGGCTTCGGCAATTTTCTCCTTTTAAAGCAGAAGCAGACAGGGCAGGACTTCAACACCAGCAAAATGTCAAGACCACTCTCCTGAGCACTTGTTCTACATCAGCATGTGGGCCGCTTAGCCAGGCTCTGCGCCTTGCTAGAGACTGCCCAGAACCGCCTTCAGCCATTTGCAAAGGGGAGACACAGGGGAGAAAGCGCGGCTTTGCACCCCTCCCTCTCACCAGAAAACACAGAGAAAAAGGCGTAAATGTCTCTTCAACATAATTCAAAGCATCGTCACTAGGTAAAGCCCTTGCATAAGTGTCTTGATAATTATATTCCAATACACTCTCCCAGGCCTTATGGAAGATGAAAAACACCATTTTCCCATTCCAAGCAATCTGTTAAAGAAAACCAGCATTACTTGTAAACAGATTCCAAGCTATCAGAAGGGTAAATTAAAAATACACTTGTGTGTTTTGGATACATTCTTTAAACCATTTGTCAGATCCGTGTTCTAACAAGAATCTATGACTGGCCCCACAACTTCTTGAGCTCAAAATGAATCTTTATATTCTAGCTTCTTCCAGTTAAATAATTACTGCCTATGGTGCTTTAGTATTTATTAGTTATTTACATCTTTAAGAAAATCTCAGCTGGTGATGAATGCCAATAATCCCCACTACCTAGAAGGTAGAGGCAGGAGGATCAGGAGGTAAGGGCCAGCTTCAGCTACATGGTAACTTAAAGACCAGCTTCAGTTATAGGGGACCTTGCTCAAAAAAAAATGCACAGGTCAAAAATAATGTATGAGAAACCATTATTGCGTAGAATTAATATATACTAATAAAAATTTAAATAAAATAAGCTCTCAGTATGCTTTCATATTTAGTTTTCTCTCTGGAAATAGCCTGATAGGTGAAAAGACTTTCACATTACCTGGCCTGATCACATTTCCTAGAAGAGGACTTGAGTCACACAACAAATATTAACCCTCTGGAGAACTACAGCAAGTGCTCAACTTTCCTAGAATCATTTGCTACCACATCCAGCTCTGCATCCATCCTACCAGTAAATAAAAAAGACCACCACCACCCCAGCACAATCCTCCAGATTATAAAGTAAGGACTGGATCCCACCATCGCACAGAGCTAAGGTCGTGAGCCCAGCTCGGTGGTAGAGCACTTGCCTAGCATGTGCAAGGCTTTGATTTCTAACAAAAACACATCTGTTAGAGTTTTTTTGTTTGTTTGTTTGTTTGTTTTTTGATTTTTGAGGCAGTGTTTCTCTGAGGCTTTTGAGGCTGTCCTGGAACTAGCTCTTGTAGACCAGGCTGGCCTCGAACTCACAGAGATCCGCCTGCCTCTGCCTCCCAAGTGCTGGGATTAAAGGCCCCTGTTAGAGTTTTAAACTAAGCAAATACACGGGGTTGATGCCAGTCATAAGGAAATAAAGAGCAAGGTTTTCACCCCAGAGGTACTCCCAAGAAAATAAAAAGCCACATATCCTTCAAGGGCTGGAGTCAAACAAGTTTGCTAACTAGACGCGGCTGTGTGTGACGCTAACAGACACTCAGATACACTCTCAGTGATGAAGTAACAAAAAGATGCCTCATCACTGAGACTCAGGACTTCTGTATGCCAATGCACACAGTAAGTCCCAAGATCAAACCCTAGGATGAAGTTTGCAGGGCGCCAACCTGAGCAGGACCTTGAAGAGTTTTCCATGGGCTTCTAAGAAGGCTTCGGTCTAGGCTTTGGTCACAGTGTGTCTGGGAACGTTAGGGCAACTTCTAAAGGTCTCACCTGATGTGTGTTGCAGGAAGGGATTCATACTGGCGGGACAGAAAGAGCTCCCTATGTTTCAGCTGATGCTTCTGCTTCTCAGTCAAGTCAGCCTCAACCGTCATCTCCGTCTCTTCCTCTGTCTCTTCTATACAAACAAAACCCAAAGAAACCATTATTACAACCCATGTCGCCTTTGGGGATATTCAAACAGAACGAACGGACAGGTCAAATTAGCATTTCATCATCCGATGACTTCTTCATGCTAATCACTTTTGAACTTCACAGTAAACTTTTCATTGCAATCCCAGCCCTAAAATTAAGTCCTCTGGGCTGCCAAGGAAGAAGATAAACACCACTGTTAAAACGGCAGAACTGGACATGCTGGTACACACCTGTGAGCCCAGCGCTTCAGAAGCTGAGGCAGGAGGATCGCCAATTCAAGACCACCTGGGCGAGAGAGTAAATTCAAGGTGAGCCAGTACTACACAGTGAGACCAGTCTTAAAATGAATAAATAAGTGAGCAAGTGAGCGGGCAGTGGCTGGAGAGTTGGTCAGCGGCTGCAAGAACTTTTTTGACATTACATTTAACAGCTTTAAAGAGAAAGAGACACTAATAACATTTACAGACATAATTCTGATTAATTTGAGCCACACAACTTAAAAAAAAAAAACTCCTCTGAGGCTCCCAGGTCCCTCACAGCCTCACCTGGAGCGGCCGTGTGGCTCTGGGGGATAGCGGGAGTGTGGGAGTGCAGTGACTCAGAGTGAGGCTCAGGGAACAGGAAGAGGGCTGCTGCTCTTCACGCAGGAAGCACAGCTCCAGAGTGAACTTGGGGCATCTGGCTTCACGCCAAACCCTTAACTCTGAGACCAGAGGTGTCACGCAGACTGACAGCAGCATATCTAATTGTCACAGTTCTTATTTCCGGGCCCAGGACCATAGAGGTCATTTTATCAAACACAATATCCCACAAGTCTTTTTCTAATTGCAAGAGGACCTGCTGTCTTCCCTAATTTCGGGTTTTTAAAGATCTGAATTGAAAACAAGCCTGACCTAGGAGCGGGCAGGCAAGTGGGCTCAGGAGGTAACGGTATGTGCCACGAAGCTTGACACCACGAGTTCCAATCCCTGGGTCCCACACAATGGAAGGAGAAAAGTGATGCCTCCAAATTGTCCTCTGACCCCCATACATGTGCCGAAGTGGACACGGAAATATACACAACACACACATACAGAGTATCGGTGTAATAAAAGAAAAAGTCTCACTGTAAGGATTCAGGCATCATGCTGGTCTGCCCTTGTCACTGGCAGAATGCACTCAGGCAGTGCCCTGGTCAGTTTAGAGTTCCATGGTTGTGTAGTCTGCACCCAGGTGCAAAGGACCCTTTAAAAGAAAGACCCGGCCACTCGCTCTCTTTCCCTCTCTCTTCCCTGAAGAGGACTTTTCCTGTCTCCTCTTCTGTCCTCTCTCTTTTTCTCTTTCCTTCCCTCCCCCCCCCTTCTAATAAAACTTCTCACTAAGCTCTGTCTGCCTGGCGCTCTCTCTCCCTCTCCTCTCCTCTCTCTCTTTCTCTCCTTTCCTCTCCTCTCCCTCCCTCCCTCTCTCTCTCTCTCTCTCTCTCTCTCTTTCTCTGTGTGTGTCTGTCTCTCTCTCCCTCCCTCTTTTCTCTTTCCTTCCCCTCCCCTCCCTTTCTAATGAAACTTCTCACTAAGCTCTGTCTGCCTGGTGCATTTGTTTGTCCGTCCCCCCCCCCCCCCCCATCACCGTTGCCGGCCAAGGTCCCCACGCAAGGTCCCCCTCGAGCTTTATCATAACACTCACCATGCTCAAACAAAGAACAAGGCAAGTCAAGGTCGCTGGATGTTCTTTCACACAAAGAGAAGCACAGCACCAAAAGGAGCACCCAGTGCAGGGCTGATGACTCTCACTAGCGGGGAGCGGCGGAGTTACCGCTGCACTGGCACTGTTAGCAAACACCACTTACAGAATCACGCTCTTTCCCTAACTGGAATTCGATAAATTGTTGTTCTAAAAGATAGGGCTAGCTGAATTCTAATGGTAGCCACACAGCAAAGAGCACCAATACATATAGCAACAACGGCAAACCTCACCTTTTTTAATTGTCGTTTTGGTTTGGGTATCTTTTTGGCTCGTTTTTTTTTTTTTTTTTTTTTTTTTTTAGACAGGATCTTACTATGTAGCCCTGGCTGGCCTGGAACTCTCTATGTAGACCAGGTTGGCCAGGAACCCACAAAGATCTGCTTGCCTCTGCCTCGTGTGTGTGTGTGTGTGTGTGTGTGTGTGTGTGTGTGTGTGTGTGTGTGTGTGTGTTTGTATATATGTGTTGTGTAAATGTTTGTATGCGTGCATGCGTGTGTGTATATTTGTATATATATGTTATGTTTCTAGCTGAAGCTGGTCTGGAATTCACTATATAGTCCAGGCTGACCTTAAACTCAAGATACTCCTCCTCCCTAGTTTATCAAATGCTTTTTTTGTTGTTTTTGGTTTTGGTGCTGAGGACAAAACACAGGATCTGAGCTCCTGAGCAAGCACTCTACCACTGAGCTATACACCCACTAAAATTTTATTTGTTTTAGTTTTGGTTTTTTTAAGACAGGGTCTCACTATGTAGCTCTGGCTATCCTAGAACTCACTCTGTAGACCAGCCTGGCCTCAAACCCACAAAGATCTGCCTGCCTGCCTTGCCTCTCAAGTGTTGGGATTAAAGGAACGCACACCACTACTCCTGCCCCCCCCCATGAGGGCTGAGGGAGACGGGGAGATGGCTCAGTGGTTAACAGCAGTGCCTGCTCCTCCAGAAGACCCAGATTTGATGCTCAGTCCCCGTATGGTGTTTCCCAACCACCTGTAATGTCAGTTCCAGGAGATCTGATATAAGGCCTTCCAGCCTCTGTGGGCACGAAGCATGCCCAGGCATACATGAGCAAAACACCCATACACAAAATCTTTTTTTAACAACAAAAAAAAGTGTGTGTGTGTGTGTGTGAGAGAGAGAGAGAGAGAGAGAGAGAGAGAGAGAGAGAGAGAGAGAGAGAGAGAGAGAGAGAGAGAGAGAGAGAGAGAGAATAGGAGTGTATGTCACAGTGCACATGAGGAAGATGAGGAAGTCAGAAGACAACTTGAGGGAGCGAGTTTTCTCCTTCCGCTATGGGGTCTGGGGATCAAGTTCAGGTCCTAGGCTGCTTGTGTGCAAGTGTTTTTCCCACGGAAAGATCCTGCCATCTCTTAACTCTTACTTTTTTTATACAATCCATGGTACAGGCTGGAAAGTTCTAAAAGCTGTCAAGTACAACGTAACCACCACAGAAAATCACCACAGATGCATGGAAACACACCCTGTACTCCCAACACAGCAGACAGGAGAAAGATCATACCAGTTCACTGCATACTGAGTTTGAGACTAGCCTGAGGTACACAGAAAGATCCTGTCTCAAAAATAACACAAAGAGGGGCTGGAGAGATGGCTCAGAGGTTAAGAGCACTGACTGTTCTTCCAAAGGTCCTGAGTTCAATTCCCAGCAACCACATAGTGGCTCACAACCATCTACAATTCAATTGGGTGCCCTCTTCTGGCATGTAGGCAAAATACTGTATATGTAATAAATAAATAAATCTTTAAAAAAAATAACACAAAGAAATAGCAACGATAACAATACATTTAACACCAGGTGGTGGTAGAAAACACCTTTAATCTCAGCACTGGGAGACAGAGGCAGGTGAATCTTTGTTGACTTCAAGGCCATCCTGGTCTACAAAGCAAGTTCCAGGACAGCCTGTTACACAGAGAAACCCTGTCTCAAAACAACAAAAAAACATAATAAGACCAAAAAAAAAAAACCCACAAATATATTTAACAAATGGCAGAACTTGTACCCTAAAACAACACTGCCAAAGACCAAATCGAGTAAGAAACAACCCATGTTCACTGTCGGAAGATCAAACACTACTTGAAATGGCAGTAAATTCCCAGGTTGATTTACACGTGAGAGCCATTCCTAATGCAATTCCAACTGCCTTTTTCACTAAAATTAACATAGATCTGATCATTCATACCGGCATTTAAGGACGCACAGTAGCCAAAATAATCTTGAGTAAGAACAAACTTAAGGTACATTGCAACCCTACACTGATCGGGACTGTGGAACCCAATTAGGACACACGGGAGGACAGAGGACAGCTAAAAGTGCAGAGCCTGAACATACACGCGACTGATTTTGAGCAAGGCAGCCAGGACCAGTCCTCAGAGGGAAAACAGACAAGACTTCCTTTGGCAAATGGTGCTGAGACAACTAGATACCCATCTGTAAGAGAATAAACCGACTGTGGACTTCCACACCTCAAACAATACACCAAAATGAACCCAAAATACACACCAAAAGGCTAAATGGTAAGAGCTAAGAATCAAAATAAAACCGGTATCCCCATGACCTGTTAGACCAGGAAATGGTATCTTACCCACTATATGCAAAAACATAAACAAGAAAACCAAGTAGAAAAATTGAACTTCACATTAAAATTTTATGTAAATGGATAAAGCTTGCCAAACAGCAGTCCAGTCTGAACCATGAGTACCAACTTCAGGGAGACCCATCTCAAAAATAGGTGGAGTGTGACTGTGTTGGTTTGAATAAGAATAGCCCCCACGGGCTCCCATCGTGCTGGAATGAAAGGCGTGTGCCACCATGTTCTGCCAGCAATTTTTTTTTTTTTTTTTTTGGTTTTACGAGACAGGGTTTCTCTGTATTGTTTTGGAGGCTGTCGGACCAGCCCAGCCTGGATCTCATAGAGATCCGCCTGCCTCTGCCTCCTGAGTGCTAGGATTAAAGGCGTGCGCCACCACCGCCCAGCTCTGCCAGCAATTTTTTAAACAAACGGCAAGCACACATCCCATTAGCGGGGAGAGTGAAGCCCTCCCAGGCCACCCAGTCTCTGCAGAACTCCGTGGCAGGTGCATGGGAGAACTGGCAAGCAGCTGGATGCCAGCTCAGTGTCATTTTGAACGTTTTCCTGATCTCACAGACCCCACCGAGGGGAGTGGGTAGTGACCAAGCAATGCACAGGAAGTCAACCGTGCAAAGAAAACCCTTGGCTGGAGCACAGGTGTTTCACTTTCCTGCT